GCTAAAGACCCTATCAACAGGTTTCATTAGGTTTCGGATATGAAATTCCGAGTCCAGAAGCTGGTGTTGCCTTTGGAATTTAGAATCTTATTCTTGTATATCAGGTTTCATTTCGAACTTTTTATGTAGAGATGTTTGATAGAAGCTTGCAAGTACCACTGAACTGTATTCATTTTGTTCTTTGCTCTGATCCAGTGTTGAATACGGAGCTTTTGTCAAAAATCTACCAAGTAAAAGATTTTTTTTTCCTCGAGAAATCAGTAGTTCATTGTATTGTAATGCCCTCTCATATTTCACACTCATGGCCTAATCACTTTGACAATCTGCTTAGAACAATGGGTGATTGTTCTTGCTGAGGGTTCTCTTGTTCGGACAACCATATCAACCATGTCGGAGGATAAAAAAAGTTTACTTCTGAAAGCAAACGTGCAGAGTGAATCGAAGAACAACGACAATGGTGAAGGTAAGATTACTTGTGCAGTTAAGCAGGGAAGGAAAGAAAGCATTTCGAGTATATTCATCCTTCCAATGCAGCTCTTTCCACTCGTTTCTCTTTGCACTGATGGATTTGAATGGAAGTCTCCTCAGGTTTGGGCATGCGTAGAATGTTCTTCATACATGGGAATGACAGTGCATCCCTGGAAATGCTCTTCAGTTCTGGTAGAATAGATACTGTAAATAAAGAGACTAGAATTTTGCCACCTGCTTCACTTTTACCTCATTGATTATTTCTTCCATTTTCAAGCAATTTATTACATATACTTTTAATCTAATTGTAAATATTAATATAATACTATTATTCATAATTGGAATGCTTTTTTGTCTGATGTTGGTGGCTAGTTATTGCACTTCCTCAATGCTTTTTTGACCTCGACTTAGGGTTGTAAATAAAACAAGTCGAACTCAAATAGTACCCGGGTTGTAAATGAGCCGAGTAGAACTCGAATAGTACACCAGGTAGATTTTTACTTGTGCACTCGAGGAAGTAATGCCTACCAATGAACTAAATATCCAAAACAAAACAATAAATATTCGGTCTTCAACCTTCAGCCTCACAAGTGGCTCGCCAACTTTGCTTCTAGAGCGTACACCTTCTGGAAATGTAGTCGGTTTCTTTCCTTCCATGTTAGAGGAATGTTCCACGCACCCTCTCTTTTTTTTTTTGGATAATTAAGCTTTATTACCCAAAATAGCAGAAACTTGCTACAAAACAATACAATCAGAGTTTCAAAAGAATGGGGAACCTATGTACATACAAAATTAAACTATACCCCAATTGCTACATAAAGCTAAATTTATTCTATCATTTCTATTAATGGACCTATTACTTAGAACAATCCCAACAATCCTCTTAACATTGTTGATGATTTCAGCAGTGCTTCGGCTTTTCCCCGTAAAGATCCTTCGATTTCTTTCCTCCCAAATAGTATAATTAAACCCACGCCATGAGAGTCTCAAAATAGTTGAAATCAAGGACTTTCCCTTCCATGAGGTAGCTGCCCATTCCAGCAAGCTGGACCAAGAGGAGAAAGACAAATTAAACCCGGACAGAAGGAGCAGAGAATTCCAGATAGAAGTTGTGTACCTGCAAGTGCAAAATAGATGGTCTCTTGTTTCAATTTCCTCATGACAGAAGATACAATCAGCATTAGAAATAATCCTGAATCGATGTAATCTGTCCTTGGTTGGAAGACGATTCAGAATGATCATCTAAGAAATAATACTATGTTTCGGGACATGGAGAGAAAACCATATCAAGTTATGCCAAGAGACTTTACTATTTTTAGGCCGAATCTCGTTCCAAATTTGCGTGGTGTTAGATGCAGAAGAAAGTAACAACGTTCTGGCTATGATTCGTATTTTCAGAATACGCTTAAAAATCCAGCTTGAATTATGTGGTTCTGACATAGTCCAAAAATCATGGTTCTTGATGATATTAATTTGAGTCCATGCTACCCAAAGAGAACATTCACCAGTAAGAAGTTTTCTGGTGAGGTGAATCAAGCTCGCACAATTCCAGGTTTTAATATCCTTTAGTCCTAACTCGCCTTCAGACTTTGGGTTACAGATTTTCCTCCAACTCACCCTTACTCCTGTAGCTTTTGTATCCGAGCCTTTCCAAAGGAATCTTGAACACAATTATTCATTTTTTTTTATAATAGAAAGAGGCAAGACAAGTTGACGACACCAATAGTTAGCAATGCTATAAAGAATAGTCTTGATGAGCTCCACCCTTCCCGCATAACTCATATTTTTTGTAGACCATTGGTGAAGTCTGTTTTTGATATTGTCAATAAGTGTTTGACAGTCCTTTTCGGTTAGTTTCTTGGTGACCAAAGGAACACCCAAGTAACGAACATGAAGTCTTCCTTGTTTAAAGCCAGTAGAACTTTGATAGCTTCAAGGGTGTTATGAGATATGCCAGCCGCGAAGAGTTCACATTTTCTTGCATTAAGCTTCAGTCCAAAAAATTCATAAAAGCAGTCCAAGACTGTAGTGACACCCAGAACAAATTCAAGCTTACCTTTGTAGAAAATAAGTAAGTCATCTGCAAAGGACAAATGAGTGAGTCCAAGGTTCTTGCATTTAGGATGAAAAGAAAATATCCCTTTAGAAGCAGCAGTGTTTAGAAGATTGGACATAACATTCATAATTAGAACAAATAAAATAGGGGAAAGTGGATCTCCTTGTCTTATCCCCTTTGCACCCTTTGCACCCTTGAAATAACTAATGCACCCTCTTGCCCAGGCTTAAAATTGTGAAATTCATATTTAATTAAAAAATAATAAATTATTTATTTAATCACTCATCTATTATTTTATTTTTATTTTGGTTATTTAATTATTATTTTTATTAAAATTATACTTAACGTTACATTTTAATTTCGTTGGTTATTCATCATTAAAAAAAATTAATAACGATATTGATATGATATTTTTAAATTATTTTGTCTTTCATTAAAATTATATTTCTTATTTTTTTAGCTATTAGGGGTGTACCTTGAGCAACTGTTCATGCCTCTCATTTTGTATGAGCTCCTAATTTTTTTATAATTGCTTATTTTATAATTTAACCCTTTAATTTTCTTTAATTTTAGTTTTTTATCCTTATAATTGAGGTCCCTAATTTTTGTAATCCTACTTTTTATCATTATAATTGAGGCTTTTAATATTTTTTAATCCCATTTATTTTACATTTATAATTGATGATCCTAAATTTTTTAATCCCACATTGTACCTTTATAATTAAACTCATGTTTTTTTCAATCTCACTTTGACCTTTATAATTGAGGCCCATAATTTTTTCAATCCCATTTTTTACTCATATAATTTGGGCCCCTAATTTTTTTCAATCTCACTTTTTACCTTTAAAATTGATGCCCCTATTTATTTTAATATCACTTTTTACCTTTATAATTGGGGTCCTTAATTTTTTCAATCATACTTTTTACTTTTATAGTTTAAGGCTCTAATTTAATCATTTTTATACTATTTATTAACATAATATTAAATTAATTATTCAAAGTATTAGAATATACTTTCATTTTATAAAGGTCTACCTTTTAGTGTTGTTTAGGGTCCCGAAAATGTCTGAGATAACTATGTATTTATTAGATAATTTATTAAATGTACTAAAAAATAATTTACAAGCAAACTTTTTTGTTGCTCTTACAATTTAATTTTTTTAATATTTATTATTGGAGGTCTAATTTTTATATTCGCCCCGGGTCACTAAAATCTCAATAACGCCGAGAAAAATATCGACATCAACGATTTCCCTTTAATATTACCACACGCCCAACTAAGCTACTAATCCCATCCCATGACCGGCCTTGCCAAGTTATAATAAGCCTGCGAAATATTGCCCCAAACCTGTCTAGAGTACGCACACTTGAAAAACAGGTAATTACTGGTCTCAAACCTGTTCAAACACAGTATACAAATACCGTCAATGTTTAAACCAAACATCACAAGCCGACTCCTTGTCGGAAGTCTATCCAAAACCAAAACCTCCATCCAAAAAGTTAGAGAGACAAGAGACGAATGCCGTTTAGAGAGCTCCTTAGCTCCAAGCAGAGAACTGGTTCTGAAAAACAGAGGAACTATGCAGAGTAATGGTATATTGAACTGAATGAATTCTCATAGAGGGACATACTTGAGCACATTGACGGAATTAAGGCTTTACTTACTGCATAATTTCTTCGTTACTCCTTTATACTTATAATATGATTTATCATTTGTGTGTTGGGAATGCACAATAATAATTTGGTTGATTCTTTGATTTATCTGGTTTGTTTTCAATGTTCATTTGTGACATCACTTGTTTGATTATTGTCAGACCAAAATAATGGATGTTACAATTTCATTCACTCGATTTTTTTTTTCTTTCAAAAAACGCAATCAAGTTAAATAATTTACTTTTTTTTCCTGCAAAGTTACAACTTTTAAGAGTTGACACCAAACCAAATAAATAATTTTTTTATCTTATAAGTCTATTGATCCTTCAACCTAGAGTTCTTCAACTCATCTTCTTTTTAAAATAGACACTAACAAAATTAATATCTAAATACAAAAAAAAAAAAATACAACATAACACGGTATAACATAACAAAAACTTTGAATAAATAATAAGATACGTGAGAAAATAAAATTTGTATTTCATAACCAACAATCTTTAATCTATCATTGAAGGGTTTATAAGATATCAAAATTAAATTTAACCTTTTGAAAATTCATAACAGTATATCTTTCAAATAGTTTTAGATTTGAGTAAAAATACTCAAAATTAAACAAAGCTAAAGAGTTTGTAAGAGATACCGTGGGTGTTTCTCAATCACGTTTTGTTGTTTAACTAAGAACCCTTTTAGAGCAGATGGAAGTTGAAATGTGATTGAACCATTTTCAGATGTACAATGTTGACTAACATCCCACATCCCTATCATATGATAAACAAGAAACAAGAATTGTGTATAAATAGAAAACATAACCCATCGTTTGATCATACTTACCTGGACGGGGTCAATGGGCGATCAAGAAGACTCATGGCCTGGTGTAGTGACCTCCATTGCACTGGGGTGGGGTGCTGCTCTAAGGTCTCCCCAAGTGGGAGAGCCTACGTCGTTATTTGTTGCTGAGGGGGCTTGCGTTCGCGCAGCCCCCGTCATTTCTAAGTTATAATTATTTATTTTGTGTTCGTGTGCTACATGTGTTCTATCGTGGTGAAATGATTGGAAATCATAAAATTATTCAGTTGACTTTGGATGCAAGTGTCAAAATTTTAAATTGTAGCAATCCTTTTTTATTTTGGCTTATTATTCATATGATCATGAAAAATCTTGAAATGTTTCTTTTTAAAAAGCATAACACATCTTTAATTAAAATCAATGTTGCCTGATAAACAAGCTAATCACTTTGCTCTTCAATAAATTTGCAAGTAAAATAGTATATAAAATTAATGTTGCATACAGTATATAAAACTAATCTTTAAGATTGAATATGATTTTAGAGGTTATTTGGCATTGAAGTTTAAATAAACTTGATAATTTTGATCTAAACTGATTTATCCGACATGATATTTGAATTCAAATTCAAACCATCATAATCGGATTTAAAATTGATTTTAAAAAAGAAAGATTGATTTAAAATTCGAAAACAAACTAAATTGAATCAAAATCGATCTGAATTTCAGTTACACTGATAGTAACCTAATCCGATTAATTGTTGAAAAAAAGACATTAACATAATTTATCAATTTAAAACTTTAAAATTTTGATTTTCTTTTCTAAATTTGGATAGTAATTTAAGACATTCAAGTATTAGATAACAAGTTAAATGGTCAGACAAATAAATGACCCTATATCCCCTTCGGATGAAAGATTAAATCGACTAGTCTTGCATTTATTATAAAATGAAGCTAACAAGGTTGATTGAAACCATCTTTGTGCTTGGGGCAATGACGCAACTAATGAGGCACTTACTAATCGAGGCGCGTCTATTGCTGATTGAAAACTATTTCTAAACCTCTTCTTTCATCCCTTGCCTTCGAAAATTTCTGGAAGGGCTCCCTTTGGAGTAAAGCCCTACGATTCCTAGTTTATAAGAATTTCATAATCTCCTGAAGTACCAATATGCTATGTTTGGGAAATTCCCAGAACTTTGTACATGACAAAGATACCAATATGGAAGGGTCAGTATTTTCTTTTTTGAACATGTCCAATGAGGTAATGATACTTTTTAAAGGAATAGTTGTTATTATCTTTCTTATGTTTTGAAGAGTTTAGTTTGAATTAGAAAAGTTAAAGCAATACTCTAATGTCATTTATCATGAAATTATTGTTACTTTAATATCATTTATTATTATGAGATTAGTATTATTTTTGGAAAAAAAAAGTGATAGGGGATGTATATAGATGGTCATTAACCTTATATCTAAAAAAGAAATGCTTTAAAATTTAGGGTTAATAAAAAATAGGTACTCAAATTATGCCTCAAAAAATGTTTTAATGCCTAAAGAATTTTTCGTTAAAAATAGGTGTCTGGCGTTTTTTCGGTTGTTCTTTTTGGAAAAAAAAATATTTGATAGGTGCCCACCAAAACAAGGTTTTGGTTTGGTCATTTGGTTTTGGAGCTTATAAGAATAAAATCTTATATATTTTTGAACCAGGTTTATTTTGTACAGGTGAGGAAGGGGAGTAGAGGAAGGAGACGAGAGAGGAGAGGGATAGTGGTGGTCGTGGCGTCGGAGAAGGGGGAGAGGGGTTTAATTTTTTAATAATATATTTGTTTTTTAAATAAAAATATTTTTAATTTTTTAATTTTTTAAATAAATTTTCAAAATTATCAGAACGTGACACATATCACTTAACGGAGATATTTAACGGCAATTAACGTCTGGGCACCTAAAACTATAACGTTGGAAACATTAGATACCTATTTTCAACGAAAATTGTTTTAGGCAATAAAACGTTTTTCGAGACATAATTTGATCACTTATTTTTGTATTAAGCCTAAAATTTATAAGTTATGACGTATATTTCATCATACATGTCTTTATGGGAAAGGATAATGATCTCATGACAAGTGTTATCAAGATGATTCTTTGACTGTGTGATTTCAAGTTGAGCATCTTAGTGTGTACGATAGGCACAATGGACAGTCATGACGAGAGTGTCACGGAATTAAGTAGGAGAGAATGTCACGTCTTAGAGAGATAGTGAAGGCATTAATCCTACGTCTATAATCCTAGGTCTAAAATGAAAAGAGACATCTTAGAGTTTACAAGTGGTGGCACTACACATATCTTTTAGACATGTTCGATCTTAGACATGTTCGATCCCTGGATCCAAAAAAGAAACAAACAAGGCGATAAGGGATCAACTTGCCTTAGTCCCCTCTCTGGTAAAAAAAGAAGAAGAGACATTCCTATTAATTCTCAAGCAATAAGAGACCGGATTGATACACCACATAATAAGAAGAAAGATACAAAGCCCATTTTTAATATGATATCAGACAAAAAATTTATTCTATTCAATCGTACGCTTTTTCTATATCTAATTTGACATTTGTCCCTTTATTCAAACTATTCTTCAAGCTTTTAAACAATGAAACAATGTGTGACCAACAAATGAGTTGGAGGAACAACATTGTCAGATCAAAGAATCTGTGCGAACCAATCTCACGCAAAGAACTGATTGTTCTGCACATTTTTGAATGTGCAACAACCTTAGGGGCTGAGATAAATACCTTGATAAAAACCCCTAGGTATGCTTACCATGGGCATCCCTATTATCATACCGTTATTAAGTTGATACATTCCCTAAAATATTTGCTATTTTATCTGAATGAAACTTCGGAGAGTATTTTAAAACACAAACCCTTGACGCTTTATAATTTCAGAATAAGCGAATGAATTTCCAATCTTGAGTTAATCTTCAACTCATTTGTGTACAAAGAAGAAATACAAACATGACAAATATCTTGAATAAATAATAAGATATATAAGAAAATAATTTTTGGATTACATGGTCAACAACAATCTTTAGTCCATCATCGAAAGGTTTGTGAGATATCAAAATTTAAATTCAATCCTTTAAGAATATGATATTGGATTATAAAAGAGATTACTATGTGACATTAAAATCTTTTCAAGCATTGAAACCCAATAAAAAATGGATCCTTCAACGGGTATTAGAATTGAGTAGCATAAACATAGGAGTGTTTCGCAAGTTCAATGATTATAGTTCAGTAAAAAAAAATCTTGGTACACAAAATTAAACAAAGCTAAAGAGCTTGTAAGAGATACCATGAATGTTTTTATATCACGTTTTGTTGTTTGTTTAATTAAGAACCCTTTTAGAGAAGATGGAAGTTGAAATGTGATTGAACCATTTTTAGATGCACAATGTTTCATTAACATCCCACATCCCTACCATATGATAAACAAGAAACAAGGATGGCGTATAAATAAATAGCATAAGCCAACATTTGAAGATTCTTACCTGGACGGGGTTAATGGGCGATCAAGAAGGCTCATGGCCTGTAGTAGTGACCTCCATTGCACTGGGGAGGGGTGCTGCTCTAAGATCTCCCCAGGTGGGAGAGCCTACGTTATTATTTGTGGGGGCTTGCGTTCGCGCAGCCCCTACCATTTCATAGTTAAATAGATATATATATTTATATATATATCTGTGTGTGTGTTGTATTTTACCGTGCTACTTATTTAACGTATTCAATGGCAGGGATGGAAGTATAATGAAAGAGTTATATTTTGTCCCATATTTTTTCCTCTAGAATTTAGATCTTCTTTTCCAAGGGCAGGGATGGAAGTTGATTGATGAAAGAGTTGTATTTTTTGTACTTGTCTGTTTGTCTAGAAACTTGGTTAAGTACCTTGTGAGTTCTTATTTCACTATTTTGTCATTGTATAAATTAAGTATTCAATGGAATAGTGTAGGTCCAGCTAGCGTGTGACGTAGTTCTGAAAACGTCTCGTGTTGAAGATATATACTAGTAGTAAATTTCTCTCTGATTATGATTCTGTAAAGATAGAGTTTTGATCAAAACAACATAAACAAATTGTCGAGCTTAATTAAACTCGATTGACCAAAAATCATTATGATGAACCAAAAACTTATGAAAAAACATTGAAACTTTAAAATGTTCATCATAACATATTTTCAACATACATGAGATAATAAACAATGTGTGATCATTCATGCTCAATACTCATGCATGCATAAAACTCAATAGGCAACCAATATACAAAATCAATAAACATTAAGAGTAGAGGTTGACCATCCTTCTTTTGAAGTGTGGCTAGAGCATTTAAATTTATTCACTTTTGTCACCATTTCTCCCACACACCTTCAAGAGACATTTATTTGGATTTTGGTATCCAAATTGCTTTGGATCCTTGATTGTTAGTGCTAACGTCCCTTGTTCCCTTTGGAACCCATACTTGTTTAATTTTAAAACATTTTCTTTTCTTTAAAGGGCAAATATGTTCCAAATGACAATGATAATGACAATGTGAGCATTTTGTCATTATGAAATTAGATGAATTATTTAAAATGATTTCCATTTATTTTGTTAAGCATTCAAGCTTAACTTTTAAATCAAAACATTCTTTTTCAAAATTTTCAATTTTTACTTTTGTAAGCTCTAAATCATTTTTTAAAATTTCATTTTGTTTTTCAAAATCCAATTTTGCTTTCAAAAGAAAATTGTTTTCAACTTTAAATTTTGAAATCATTTTCTTGTATTTGGAGTTTATGGTCTCAAACTCCAAAAATAATTCATCGTATGCATCTTGTAACTCATTAAAAGAATATGAATTAGATTCACTAGAGTTAGAAGATACCTTGAGCTCTTCATAAGCCATTAAGCACACTACCTTCGGTGGTTTATCTTTCTTGTCACCATAAAGTTCTTCGAGCTTATTCCAAACCTCCTTGGCATTTGAACAAAAAGATGTGTCTTCATAGACTTCGGGACCAAATGCACAAAACAACATGTGCGTGGCCTTGGCATTTTGTTGGGCGTTCTTTCGTTCTTGGTCACTCCACTTCTTCGTCTTCTTCATTGGAGAATAGTAGTCATTCTCGATCATCTCCCATGGATCAAGATAATTGGATTGGATGAATAAATTCATTAATTTCTTCCAGTGACGGTAGTTAGCTTCATTGATGTATGGAGGCTTGTCGATCGATTGGGAGTCTTCCATGTGGAACGAGCTGGAGGTGAAAGCCATCTTCTCGGTTGTGTCAAAAATGGATAGAGCTTCTTCAAGGATCGTCTCAAGGTTTTTAGACCTTCTAATGAGTCAAGCTCTTATATCAATTGTTAAGCTTGATGAAGCTTGATTGATCAACCGAAAATATGCCAAAAGGGGATGAATTGGAAATTTAAAATTTAGGGAGTAAGGAGTATAAAAATAGGGAAATTTACACAATGATTTATAGTGGTTCGAGTTATCAACCTAGTTTAAATCCACTACCTAAGCTCCTCACTTAGGATTTTCCAACAAATCCACTAATTTGTTCTTTCTTTTTCAATGATCAAGAATAACCTTTATAACTCCCTAGTTTTTCACTTGGCTAAACTAGAACCAAAACCCCTTTAAAATGATAAGAGATATAAACATGAAAACCCTTATAATATAGGTGTTTACATAGTTTAAGCTCACTAAAACACTAATATTTACAAGAGAAAGAAAATAAGATTGAAGAACTCTTCTATTGTGTTTAATTGCTTGGATAGGTGTTGTTCAACCTTCTTCAAGTGTTCTCAACTTGTTTTTATATGTTGGAATGAGTTACTAGCCATTTCTAGCTTTTTGGGAAGGTTTGGAGCTGTTAGAAGACTTTATGCACACAAAGTTTCAAAACTCTTCGAAAGAGCCGTTGGAAAAATTTGACCGTTGGACACAAAGTTTCGAAACTCTTGAGATAGTTTCAAAACTCTTGAAAAGTATTGAAACTTTTTGGGAAACTATCTTGGAAAGTTTTGAAACTTTTGTAGAAGTTTCGAAACTTCTGGTCAATATACTCATTTTAAGGTTTTAATTGGACTTTAAATTATT